ATATTATATATATATACCTGTGTGTGTATATATAACATATATAGAGAGAGAGAGCTTAAAAATAAATAAATACAGACTCTTGTTAAATTAGAGATTTTTAAAAAATTGATTTTGACATCTATAAGCAGGACCATAGTTTGAGGATAGAACACTAAAAAACATTAATGACAGAAGACATAAATGTCCAATCAAAGGATAGGACTGTGAACCTAAAAATTACAAATATCCTTTATCTACTCTATTTTCCCTTTTCCTCTCCTTCTTCTTTGGAATATTCAGGCCACATATTTCCAAAATGTTCTGCAACATTATGTCTGTCACGCATCGTGCCAGACGCTGTCTCCTCTCCTGCCAGCACTGCAAAGCTTTCTCTTGATGTAAATAGGGAGCATTTTTGTGATTGGTGGAAACAAAAATATGAATGCTAAAATGACAGTTTGGGACTAAAAAATAGTAGAAAATGAAAAGCCAACAACCTTATTTAAAAAACCCTGCGATCTAAAATTATTCCCTGCATTAGGCATCCACATTTTTCATAAGTCAGTGCTAAACTCTATACAAAAAAATAAAATAATAACATAAAATAAAATATGTTGGTTCATAACAGCCAGGTACCCCCAGTGAAGTCACACATTTCTTTTCTAGATTAATAATTTTTAAGATGGTATTTTATATCTCTTAGTTTATTCATTCTTATTCTTTTTTCCTACAAATAATATATAAACTTCTTTTTAGAAAAGCAATTTTTCAGTAACATCCTAGAAAATGGCACCTAATCCAATAACTCTTTATATTCTTTCTACAGTTTTCCCCTAACATATATTTTCCCCATATTCATTCATGCATATCCATTGTTTCATGTCACTGAAATCATTTAGGTATAGGGTTGTATGTCTACTTTCCTTACTTGACTTTGTCTAAGCATTTGTCTGAGTGCCTACTTGTTGTTTATATTTGTCAGGAAGGCTACTATTACACTCCTCTCAGATAGCCAGGTCATTTGTAAACCAAATTGGATGTTCTTGAAGAGTAATTTAAAAGGAAATTACCATCCAGCTGAAAGGACTGTCTCCCTTACCTTTTAACCTCCACAGAGGACAGCCTGGTGCTGTGCATAGAGAAAGAACTTGGTCATTTCTTTCACAGTTGACTAAAACTAGAGAGAAAAGTTATTTCCTTAAAACACCTTTTATATAGAACACTTGAATTTCCAGAAACCCACAGGAATGATTGGTAACTCAAAAAGCAGCTTTTGACTCTATGTTCACAAAGCTAATGGGAATTACAGTGGATACAATCAATCTCAGGTGGTTGCTGGGCCCCTTCATGGACAGACAGATAGACCCACACTGACCTGGACTGGTCCTACCTGGCCAGTTTCTTCCCAGATCAGGGTAGGAGAGAGGTGGATCCCGGAGGCTTCAGCATTTTGAAGCAAATGCCAAGTGGTTGTGTGAAGTGTGCATTTTAAGTTCTCTCACAGCCCTCTGATGAGCAAAGATTTTACTCTGTTGTCTGGCGGGCAATGCATTCCCTCCTCTGCCTGGTTTGTAAGTAACTACTGGAGCTTTTTAGTTTGGCCTGAAGGACTGAGGGCGAATTCTAGTGCAAAGCTTTGGTCCTCTATTTCAGTGGTCGCCAACCGGTAGGTAGTCCTCAGACCACTGGTGGTCCTTGAGGTCCAAAAGGTTGGCGACCACTGATCTATTTAACTCGGGCACCAAGAGTGGCTCGTGTGTGGCTCTGAGACCAGGCAGTACAGGGGAGACGAGAACTAAGATTTGAGTTAGGATGGGGATGTATTGGATCCCAAGATATATACAGACAGAGAGTTAAAAATCTTTTAAACTCTCTCCTCCCAATCAATCTGAACAAATATTTATCAAGCACCTTCTTTGTGCCAGGTACTGTGCTGTTTACTAGATAAATAATGATAAGCGCAGCTCTTGCCCAGTTGCCAATAGCTACAAGAAGCTGTAGACTCCAAAGAAACAAGCAGAGGTTGGTTTCCAAGGATTCAAGTACAGCAGGAGAGAATAAGCAGGAGTGGACTCTAAGAATACAGGACAGTACATTGAAGAGGAAAAGAGCAGAGAGCCCACTTTGGACCTGACATACGAGCAGGAGTATAATGAGCAACCATGTAACATGTAACAGCAGGGTTTCCCAAGATATATACAGACAGAGAGTTAAAAATCTTTTAAACTCTCTCCTCCCAATCAATCTGAACAAATATTTATCAAGCACCTTCTTTGTGCCAGGTACTGTGCTGTTTACTAGATAAATAATGATAAGCGCAGCTCTTGCCCAGTTGCCAATGGCTACAAGAAGCTGTAGACTCCAAAGAAACAAGCAGAGGTTGGTTTCCAAGGATTCAAGTACAGCAGGAGAGAATAAGCAGGAGTGGACTCTAAGAATACAGGACAGTACATTGAAGAGGAAAAGAGCAGAGAGCCCACTTTGGACCTGACATATGAGCAGGAGTATAATGAGCAGCCAGCAACCATGTAACAGCAGGGTTACGAAGGTCTACTCAAGGTCAGAAGCTGGCTCCTCTTCGCCCCTGCCATGGTACCTTGCTGGGCATGTAGAAATCTGCTGTGTAGAGTGAGGAAGGACTTACCTGGAAACTCCACCGTGGGACACCGTGTGCTCTCTTGCATTCATCTTTCAGGGTTGCATGCTGGTGCCATTGCTGGAAGGTGACTATTGCTCAGCTGCCTCTATATTTTTCTCCACTGAGGTGCTGAAGTGAAATGATTGCTGCCTCCTTGTGAGGATCTATGAATCAAAACAAAGGTCAGACTCCCACTCAGTTGCACAGTGCTGCTTATTGAAAATTTGCAGGCTTGCTTAGGAGATCATTGAACTTGTGGTCATCACAGGATGCTCATGATTAGGTGGCAAAGGAAGAGTCATCCCAATATGTGAGGCCTAGAATCAAATTCTTTACCTCTTTGTTCGATTTACTTCCTCTTTAAAAATAAGCAAACATCTTACAGAAACGGATTTATAGGGACATGACTTTTTCATTTTCAGACATGGAAAAGTTTATTTAGTAAGAATGAAGTAAGAAGTATGTATACAGCTGTGCTTGCTATATATTTCAATGGACACATTATATAACTGCCTTCTTTAATGATGACATTTAAACTCTCCATGTGTCTGCATACTGCAGTACTTCAAAAAGAAGGAATAACCCCAATATAATTGAATAACCAAGATCATTAACTTTGGATTTAAACGAATCTAGACACACAAGCAGCTGTGTTCCTTGAGAAGCATTAGGGAGGCTGATGAGAGAAGCAAAAGCGACTCGGTGAAGGATGCTGCTCCACACCATCCACCACTTTTGAACTACATTCTTTACATTCTTCAAGTTGTGTGTTCCCCATTATCTTCTCTTTAATTTTCCGCAACAATCCCAACCTCACACCCCTGCACATTTCAGAGACAGAGCTCTAAACTCTCACAGTTTCCAGGTTCACAGCCCTTCCCGTTTCAGAGGTGGCCAAGCGGGCACCCGTTTTTAGTCTCCTAAGGGTTACATCTCCAGTCTTTGATTTGGATGTTGGTTCCGATGATCAACAGTTTCCTACTTCACCAGAAACTTCTGAAAAATTTAGCGCCTAGAATGGTTACAGATTGGAGCAACTGCCTTATCATTATTTGTCTAGTTTTATGTCTGTGTGTGCATGTGTGTTTGGGGATGTGGGAAAATAAGAATCAGTTAGTCAGAAAAAATCCTCATGACTTACAAAGCCAACAGTGAGTTGGAAAGAATTCTCCCTGCCTAAACAAAACCCCCTCACCAAAGTAGTGTTCCGGATGAACGGGGTTTTGATAGCATGAAACGATACCAATTCCATGTAGTAAAGCTTACCTTTAGGATAATCTGAAACCAAATGACTGTGTGGTAGTGTTCTGAAACAATTTCTACAGCTCTCTTCCTCGTAACATGGAACACAGAATATAGTTTAGGTGAAAATACCTTTTCACTGGTGACATTAGCCTGTGCCAGGCCAGTCTGGTCCTCGTCTCACAAGGCTGAGAATAAGAAAGTTTAAACAGAAAAGTCTCCCCCACAAGCTTTTATTCACCAGGTTTAAAGTACACAGTGCTATGTTGTTGTTGTTAACCTAGATTAAGAAGATAGGGATCTGAAATTCACAATTTTACCAGAAAACTCATTTCAGTTGCTTTTGAATACTCCTAAAAGAGGAGTCACTTGTCTTATTTTCAGAATGAGATGGAATGAATATGAAAAATTGCTTTTTGCTTGCCATGTTGCAGTCAAGTAGCCTTTAGATGAAAAGTTAATGATCAAAAAATGACCCAATTGTAACTCATTTCCCCATTGATTTCCTTATTTTAGGGAACACGGGGAACACATTTAAGATCGAACCAGTCCTGGGCATCATCACCGTTTCCAAAGAACCAGACATGACGACTATGGGTCAGTTTGTCCTGTCAGTCAAAGTCACAGACCAGGGTTCCCCGCCCATGTCTGCCACTGCAATTGTGCGCATTTCTGTCACCATGTCTGATAATTCTCACCCCAAGTTCACTCACAAAGACTACCAAGCAGAAGTAAATGAAAATGTTGATATTGGAACATCGGTCATTCTGATCTCTGCGATTAGTCAATCTACCCTCATTTATGATGTCAAAGATGGAAACACAAATGGGATCTTTACCATAAATCCATACTCTGGAGTCATCACTACCCGGAAGGCACTGGATTATGAGCGAACTTCCTCTTACCAACTCACCGTACAGGCCACGAACATGGCAGGAATGGCTTCCAACGTCTCCGTCAATATTCAGATTGTTGATGAGAATGATAATGCCCCCATTTTCCTCTTTTCTCAATATTCAGGCAGCCTGAGTGAGGCTGCCCCAGTTAATAGCATTGTCAGGAGCCTAGATAACAGCCCCCTGGTAATTCGGGCCACTGATGCCGACAGCAACCGGAATGCTCTGCTTGTGTATCAGATCGTTGAGTCCACGGCCAAGAAGTTCTTTACGGTGGACTCCAGTACGGGGGCCATCCGAACGATTGCCACCCTGGACCACGAAACCATCTCCCGTTTCCATTTCCACGTGCACGTGAGAGACAGCGGCAGCCCCCAGCTGACTGCAGAGAGTCCCGTTGAAGTCAGCATAGAGGTGACAGATGTGAATGACAACCCGCCTGTTTTCACCCAGGCTGTGTTTGAGACGGTCCTGCTCCTACCTACCTACGTCGGAGTGGAGGTGCTGAAAGTTAGTGCCACAGATCCTGACTCCGAGGTGCCCCCCGAACTGACATACAGCCTGCTGGAAGGCAGCGTGGATCACTTTTTAATGGACTCAAATACTGGCATTCTCTCCATAAAAAACAACAACCTCTCCAAAGACCACTACGCACTAATAGTTAAAGTTTCGGATGGGAAGTTCTACAGCACGTCCATGGTCACCATCTTAGTTAAAGAAGCCATGGACAGCGGCCTCCACTTCACACAAAGCTTTTATTCCACCTCAATCTCAGAGAACAACCCTAATATAACCAAAGTTGCTATTGTCAATGCCATTGGAAATCGCCTTAATGAGCCCTTAAAATATAGCATCTTAAACCCAGGAAATAAGTTCAAGATAAAATCTACCTCAGGAGTTATCCAGACCACCGGAATCCCCTTCGACCGTGAGGAACAGGAGTTATATGAGCTGGTGGTAGAAGCCAGCCGGGAGATGGACCATTTGCGTGTGGCCAGGGTGGTGGTCAGAGTCAGCATCGAAGACATAAATGACAACTCTCCAGTCTTCGTGGGCCTCCCTTACTATGCTGCTGTGCAAGTTGACGCTGAGCCTGGGACTCCGATTTACCGGGTGACAGCCATCGACAAAGATAAAGGTGCAAATGGAGAAGTGACCTATGTCCTACAGGATGACTATGGCCACTTTGAAATTAACCCTAATTCGGGGAATGTTATTTTAAAAGAAGCATTCAACTCTGACTTGTCCAACATCGAGTATGGTGTCACCATCCTAGCCAAAGATGGTGGAAACCCTTCTTTGTACACATCCGTAGAACTTCCCATCACGATTGTCAACAAAGCGATGCCTGTGTTTGATAAGCCCTTTTATACAGCATCCATCAACGAAGACATCGGGATGGATACACCTATTCTAAGCATCAATGCCACCAGTCCAGAAGGCCAAGGCATCATATATATCATTATTGATGGGGATCTTTATAAACAATTTAACATCGACTTTGACACTGGGGTCCTGAAAGTCGTTAGCCCTTTGGATTATGAAGTTACATCTGTTTACAAGTTGACAGTAAGAGCCAGCGATGCCCTTACCGGTGCCAGGGCTGAAGTCACCGTTGACTTGCTAGTTAATGATGTGAATGACAACCCCCCTGTTTTTGATCAGCCTACATACAATACAACATTGACAGAAGCCTCTCTCATTGGGACACCTGTTTTGCAAGTTGTTTCCACTGATGTGGACTCAGAAAACAATAAAATGGTTCATTATCAGATTGTCCAGGACACTTACAACAGCACCGATTATTTCCACATAGACAGCGCCAGTGGCTTAATCCTGACGGCGCGGATGCTGGACCACGAGTCAGTGCAACACTGCACTTTGAAAGTCAGAGCAACTGACAGTGGTTTCCCATCGCTGAGCAGTGAGGTCCTGGTTCATATCTACATCTCAGACATTAATGACAACCCTCCGGTTTTTAATCAGCTCATTTACGAGTCCTATGTGAGTGAATTAGCCCCCCGGGGCCATTTTGTGACCTGTGTGCAAGCCTCCGATGCAGACAGCTCTGACTTCGACCGGTTGGAATATAACATTTTATCTGGGAACGACCGGACAAGCTTTCTGATGGACAGCAAGAGTGGGGTCATCACACTATCCAACCACCGCAAGCAGCGGATGGAGCCTCTGTACAGTCTCAATGTGTCCGTCTCTGACGGGTTGTTCACTAGCACTGCACAGGTGCATATTAGGGTGCTGGGGGCTAACCTGTATAGCCCCACCTTTTCACAAAGCACCTATGTAGCTGAGGTTAGAGAGAATGCGGCTGCCGGGACAAAGGTGATTCACGTTCGAGCCACAGACGGGGACCCAGGGACGTACGGGCAGATCAGCTATGCCATCATCAATGACTTTGCCAAAGATCGATTCCTCATAGACAGCAATGGACAAGTCATTACAACAGAAAGGCTCGACCGGGAAAACCCTCTGGAAGGCGACATTAGTATTTTTTTGAGGGCCCTTGATGGCGGGGGAAGAACGACTTTCTGCACCGTGAGGGTGATTGTTGTGGATGAAAATGACAATGCTCCCCAGTTCATGACAGTGGAATACAGGGCCAGCGTCAGGGCAGACGTGGGACGGGGCCACTTGGTCACTCAGGTGCAGGCCATGGATCCAGATGATGGAGCCAACTCAAGGATTACTTATTCCCTGTACAGCGAGGCCTCGGTCTCTGTGGCCGACCTGCTGGAAATCGATCCTGACAACGGTTGGATGGTCACAAAGGGCAATTTTAACCAGCTGAGAAACACAGTGCTGTCCTTCTTTGTCAAAGCAGTTGATGGGGGCATTCCAGTAAAGCACTCCCTCATCCCTGTCTACATCCACGTCTTGCCCCCTGAAATGTTCTTGCCTTCATTTACCCAGTCTCAGTATTCTTTTACCATTGCAGAAGATACGGCCATTGGGAGCACGGTGGACACCCTAAGGATTTTGCCCAGTCAGAATGTCCAATTCAGCACAGTTAACGGGGAACGTCCAGAAAATAACAAAGGGGGTGTCTTCATCATAGAACAGGACACAGGCACCATCAAGCTTGACAAACGCCTGGACCATGAAGTCAGCCCAGCTTTCCACTTTAAAGTAGCAGCCACGATACCCCTCGACAAGGTAGACATTGTATTTACTGCGGACGTGGACATCAAGGTGTTGGATTTGAACGACAACAAGCCAGTCTTTGAGACGGCAAGCTATGAGACCATGGTCATGGAAGGGATGCCAATCGGCACCAAACTCACCCAGGTGAGAGCCATCGATATGGATTGGGGAGCTAATGGGCAGGTCACGTACTCCCTGCACGCAGATTCCCAACCCGAAAAGGTAATGGAAGCGTTCAATATTGACAGCAACACTGGCTGGATCAGTACCTTGAAGGACCTGGACCACGAGACAGACCCCTCATTCACCTTCTCCGTGGTGGCGTCCGACCTTGGGGAGGCCTTCTCTCTTTCTGCCACGGCTTTGGTGTCTGTCAGGGTGACAGATATAAATGACAACGCACCCGTCTTTGCCCATGAGGTGTACCAAGGGAATGTGAAGGAGAGCGACCCTCCGGGTGAGGTGGTAGCCGTCCTCAGCACGTGGGACAGAGACACTTCCGACATCAATCGCCAAGTGAGCTACCACATTACAGGTCAGTCTACCACCCTTTGGTTTTCACTACGGGCTCTGCCCTCTAGAGATGGAAGTTGGCAGGCAGTGAGAGTAGGAGAGAAGAAGGAAGACGAGATGAGGGGTTAAGAGTATTGATGCTCTGGGGCTGAGGAAGAGATCTGAGTAGTTATGGTTGTTGGTTGTTCCTCACTCAGCTTTAATGTGGAGTTCATTGGTTTGCCTGCGACTGGTTACCCAGATCGGTACCCAGGCCTTGAGTCACTTTTTATCATTGCAAGTGGAGTCCAGCCAAACTTCTCAGCTGAAGAAGTGAAAATAACAGCTCTTTTTTGCTGTTATTTTAAAAATTTATGAGATGTATTTTTAACTATATTTCTTTTCCCTACATTTTTAAGGGGGGAAAAAAGCAAATAGCTGTTTCCTCTGATAATGAAAACTCATATACGTTCACATTTACAAATTAGAGAGCCAGGTTTGACCTGCTAAAAAAAAATAATGTTATAACTCTAAACCAAAGATATTTCTCCTGACAGCTCATTTTTCTTGGATCCCTTTCCTGTCTTTCCAAATAGTAAGTAGCAGTTCAATGGGAAAGCCAAGATAGACAAATGAGGTCACCCAGAGGGCACAAAGTATGTCACCATTGCTCTGAGAGCCTGAGGATTTCATGTCAGAGTGAAGAAGGGGTGTCTTGATCAGGGGCAGCTTTCCGGGGGTGATTGGCCTTAAACTACAAAGAGGAGAGGGTTGGTGATGTGGGAGCAGTCTTCCTAAAACTATTTTGGGGTTTTAAAACGAACATTTTGATGTTGTGACATTCAAAGGCAGAACATAAGCCAAGTGCCAAAAGATTTTAAAGAATCCATCAATACTTATAGTCAGGTGGTTTCCCTTTAGAAAAACTACATTATTCACCGTGAAAAATGAATTAATTAGAATGCCCCCAGGACACAGAGTCTGCTTAAGTACGTTGGTGGGAAAGTTAATTAATCACTGCAGAATAAGATCCACGGGAGGGCATATGCGTCCGTGCTAGCGACTGCCACACTTCTCCACGTTACTCCTCCTCTTCATGGAACTGTTTGCTTGATGTTTTCTGTTTAAAGCTATTTATGCATTTCATGCTTTAGCTGATAGCTTCCTTTTTATTAAAATGTATGTTTCTGCAATAAAGACACGAGCAATAGTGGTAAAGAGAAATAGGTGAGTAAAGCATCACTTTGATTTCATTTGCATTCAGTTGCAGATAAAAAGCTTCTTAAGCATTCTAAGGGATACTCTTCTATTTGGAAGAACTGTTACTCAGCCTTAATTATTTATACATTGTCTCTGAATGGAAGATTTAAAGGGGCCAGCCTATCAACTTTACCAAGGTAATGAGAACAGAGTAGCTTTAAGCTACTGTTACTGTTAGCAGTGCCAACCACCAACTGATTTTAATGAGATTTAACTTTTGCTCTTGATGTAGCACAACTTGGCTGTGCTTCCACAGATTAACAAAGGACCATTAATCATTTTATTTAACAAAAGAACAGTGTGGGCCTGCACCAGAAGCATCGGCGAGGTTAAATCTGTGCATGCTGAATATTCAACCACAGTCTAACTGAATCCTAGCCAGTGATGGAGGAAAGTGATCTCCCAAGGAGGACCCCAAGCCTCAGGGAAGCAGATTTCTCACCCTGGACACTTGACATTCTGGGCAGATAAGTCTTTGTCATAGGTGGCAGTTCTCTGCCTTGTAGGATGATTAGCAGTGTCTCTGGCCTCTACCCAATAGATTCCAGTAGCTCTACCTCACAACCCCTGATGTGACATTCAAAAATGTCTTCAGACATGGACAAGTGTCCCCTGAGGGGTGGGGGAGGAGGCACAGTCACTCCCAGCAAAAACCCACTGCCCTAGAGGAGGGTGCACCCCCTCCTTTTCTGCACTGTCTGCCTAGTATAGTCCATTCATCCTGTGTTAGCCCCACACCGCTGAGACCCCAGACTGATCCCACCCCTCACCTTATAATCCAGGGCGCAGTCTGGCTCTCAAAATGCCACCCTTCCCACTCCATCCCCTCGACAGGACCAGCAGCTCTGCCCTGGGCTTTTTTAAAGATTCATTGTAAGAAGACAAGTTCACTCCAGTGAAGTAGCAGCAGGATGCAATATGTTCCTTATTTATTTGTTTACTGTCAGTCTTCCCCACTAGAATGTGAGTTCCAGCAGGAGAAATTTGGGTCAGTTTTGTCCACTGCTGTAGCGCCACTGCCTGGAGCCGAGTCTGGCCCAGAGCAGGTGATAAATACTTGCTAAATGGCTAAACCAGGGAAACAGTGATGATTTAACTGAATTCCAGGCTCCTTGCCAGCTGTCTCGTTCAGTCTTCCTCCTTGTTTGAGGCGACATTATTTTCCTCTTTGGGATTGGAAGGTCAAGTATTTTCTTCCCTCCTGTTCCCATCTTCTGCAAGCCACTGTGGTCCCCATGCAACTCAGTGATGCTGGAAGTAGTATTGCTGGGACCACTGTCAGTGTTTCATCGTCATCAAAAGCTGTTCCATTTCACCTCTTCTCCTTCTCTCCTGCTTTCCCCAGCTTTGCTCTGATAAATTTGATCTAATTGTAGTGCTTATCTTTGAACTGCACCTTCAATGACCCCTCATTAGGGCCCTTTAATACTAATGGGTCTTCCTCTGTCATACCAACTTCTCTCCCCCAAAACCCAGTCCTTATAGGGAGAGTGCAGCTGTATGATAAATCTTTCATGAAAAGATTCCTTAATAGCAGAAACCCAAACACTAATTCAAAAGAATATATGCACCCCCATGTCCACTGCAGTGTTATTTACAATAGCAAGATTTGGAAGCAGACAAGTGCCCATCAGGAGATGAGTGGATAAAAAAGATGTGGTACATTCACACCGTGGAATACTACCCAGCTGTAAAAAAAAAAAAAAGAAGAAGAAGAAGAAGAAGAAGAAGAAGAAGAAGAAGAAGAAAATGAAAGGAAGGAAGGAAATCTTTTGTGACAGCATAGATGGACCTGGAGAGTATTGTGCTAAGTAAAATAAGCCAGTCAGAGAAAGACAAGTACCATATAATTTCACTTATATGTGGAATCTAATGAACAAAATTAACAAACAAAGTAGAAACAGACTCATAGATACGGAGAACAGACTGACAGCTGTCAGAGGAGAGGAGATGGAGGTTGGGGAGCTGTGTGGAAAAGGTGAAGGGCTTAAGAAAAAATTAAACTCATAGACACAGATAATAGTATGGTGATTACTAGAGGGAAAGGGGGGTTGGGGAGGTAGGAGAGGGTGTAGGGGGATAAATGGTGATGGAAGAAGACTTGCTTGGGGTGGTGAACACACAATACAATATAGATGATGTATTATAGAATTGTGCACCTGAAACCTATATAATTTTATTAACCAAAGTCACCCCCATAAATTAAAAAAGATCCTTCAATAGAACTGACTGCCTTTCCTTGATTATCAACAGCTAATGAAATTGTCTTGGTAACAAGAGCTACGGTGTATTACATCCTCTCTTGAGACAAAGTGGAAAGACGGTTGTATCATCCTGAGAAGGATTGATTTCACAGTTTGAATTTGATTGTCCTTAAGGGGAACTAAACAAGAGCTCACCTCCGGCTTCTCTAAGTGCATTTTATTCTCTTGAAAGTTACTGTTTTACTTTCCACACAAGCCAAGCATATAAATATCAGGCTTTCTTGCACAAGAATCAAAAGGAAGTGAGAATCGATTGTTGTTCAGTATCGTAAATGATACAGTTTGCGGGGCACCTGGATGACCCCACGCTGGCCTCTCGCTGTTACTGCACAGCTTCAAACCCTCTTCTTTTTTTTTTTTACTGCAGGAGGGAATCCCCGAGGAAGGTTTGCCCTGGGGCTGGTGCAGAGTGAGTGGAAGGTCTATGTGAAGAGACCTCTAGACAGGGAAGAACAAGATGCTTACTTCCTCAATATCACGGCCACCGATGGGCTCTTTGTCACACAGGCCATGGTGGAAGTGACTGTCAGCGATGTGAATGACAATAGCCCAGTGTGTGATCAGGTAAGTTTTGTGGCTATCGCAGATAGATTGCTCCTTTTCTAAAACTAAATCAAGACCCATTTCCCTTCTCTGTTTAAGGCCAAGCTAATTTCTGCTCTGACCTGCTTAGTTAGTGAGCTCCAATTGGATATAAGAGGCTAGGAGTTGGAGTCTTAGATGAAATATTATAAACATGGAAAGAGTAGAGGAGTAGCATGAATCAGGTACATAATTTTGCCCACAAAAACAAAAACAAAATAATGAGTCCTAAAATTAAATAATTTTAGAGGAATCATGAAGGACCTTAAAGGACTATTCTAAATCATTGATCTCATAAAAGAGAAATGGATCCCTCAAAAGCATAAATTACTTTTTTTTGTAAGTTTACACAGCTGGTTCATGGCCATGTTAGCAATGAACCCAGATCCTCAAGGTCGTCATGAGGTAGCTTTTCTATCACATAACAAACAGGACAGTCAGTGCAAGGTGCCAATACTAGGTTTTGTTTTCTTCTTACTGAAATTAAATCCCTATTCATTTACCTTTCTTCTTTTAATCACCATCTGGACCCAGAGCCACAACATTGGTGTTCTGTAGCTTAGAAAAATGCAAATAGACTTAATCTCTCATACTAATGCCAAATGCTAGTAGTGGCTTTTTAAAGAGTTGAAGGGTCCCAGGGATTCACTGGTGCTTAACAGAAAGAGGACCGTGGTCAATATGAGTCCTGCGTCATGGTTGCACAGGGTCAGGGATTTTTATCTGTTTTACTCAACACTGTACTCCTAGAATCTAAGTAGTACCGAGCACATAGTAGTGCTCAATCAGTATTTGTTGAATGAGTGAGCATGGGAGAGGCAGGGCAAGAGACATACCATGTTTCATCCTATATTGTAAAATGGTTGGTTCTATGATATAAGAAAAAAATAGCTGAAGCTAAATTATGTAAATGCATCTAAATTATTTGAATGCATGCTAACTGTGGCAGTTGCCCCAGAAATACTAATGATGTAATTACTTTTCTTTTATCTTTGACTAGGTTGCATATACAGCATTATTTCCCGAAGACATTCCCTCAAATAAAATCATCCTGAAGGTCAGTGCCCAGGATGCCGATATTGGATCCAATGGAGATATACGATACTCACTCTATGGATCTGGACACAATGAATTTTTTCTAGATCCAGAAAGTGGTAAGGTGACATTTATTCTTTGGATAAATGCCATTGTTAATCCAGGAGAGAAGTTAAGCTCTCCTATGGTCTCATCAATAGTGCCTAACTAATACACAAGAGCCTTCATATGATGCCTGGCTATCTTGGGCTCTAAGAAATACTAATTGTACATGCTCTGGTTGGTGTGGCTCAGTGTATTGGGCATCATCCTGTGCATCAGGAGGTTGCAGTTTTGATTCCTGGTCAAGGGCACATGCTTGGGTTTCAGGCTCGATCCCTGGTAGGGGGCATGCAAGAGGCAGCCTAGCAATGGTGTGCTCTCACATAGATGTTTCTCTGTTTCTCTGTCTCTCCCTCTCCCTTACTTTCTGAAAATCATTAAACTATTCTTTAAAAAAAAAACAACCTAATTGTGCATGGTATCTGAAGATGGGTGCTCTGGAGCACACAAACTTTATTTGGCTTATAAACTAGCTCTGATTTACTTACATTTATTAGCATCAAGTAATCAGACAGGTCTACTTGCTTCTCCTGTTTCTCATAGTCATTGAGTTAAAGCATCTGCCCTATAAAGAGTTTAAACAGAATGACATCAGCAACACAAGTTGCCATGCAAACCAGACAGCAATGCAGAGTAAGGAGAGTTTTCCCTGTTGAAATCCCTTTTGGGTCCCTTCCCGATGCTTATTAGCACACTTGTCTGGTTTTCATTAAACATTCCTGCCTCCAAAGTTATGAGCCCTCAGATTTGCTTACACAGTCAGGTAAAATGTATAAAGTGAAAGGTTATGTACGCCACAGCCGATGCCGGCACTGAAGGCCAGGGCTAATGGAAAAGACATTTTCTATGGAGGTAAATTATTTCAGTGTTGTGCACTGGATGGTTCATCTACTGGAAATTTGTAAATGAAGTATAAAGATGGAACAACTTGCATGTTCCCAGTGTTGTCTTGGTCCTATTGAACCACAAAATATTGAGACTCCAAGAGGCAGCGGTTACTCCTTGCTCACTCCCACAGCACCTTTATTCTACTTGGAAGAACTGAGCTACTTAGGAATATACTACTTGTCCATATGTGCCTGGTGTTTATGTATTCAATAGTTAACACTCATTGGGTAGCTAGTCGACATAAAAGGACTTATGGCATATTTGTGGTAGACTCCAAGATGAACAAAACAAACCATGTCAAATGAGGAAGACAGACCAGTAAGCTAATAATAATAATGATAATAATAGAATGAAATGAGTGACCCAGGGGAGATATTAGAGGAGGTATATCTGGGCTCAGAGGAAGAAGTAGGTAATATTCTGAGAGGAAAGAAGAAACTGTTTTAAAGAGCTGACATTTGAACGCAGCCAGGATCCTAGTAAGTCAGACAGGACCCTGCAGGGGGCAGCAGGAGCAGAGGGCGAGGCCCATCCAGGGAACGCCACGGACAGCACTGTCACTGGTGAGAGGGGCTGTAGAATGGTTTGTGATCAAAGTGCTTGCTGGGAAAAATAACTTTCAGCCACATCACGAGGGTCTTGAATGGCCCAACCAAAAAACTGGCTGTTTGGGAGTAGGAGAGGGAAGTGATCTAACCTATGTTTGAGAACTGGCTGGAGCAAGGAAGCCACGGGAGGAACTGCTTTATGAGTCGGGCTGGCATGGTCCACACAACTCTTGCTCATTTTATTTAAGTATAAGAATACTTCATGAGTCATTCTTTACACCAAATAGTATTTATTTAGGTCTTGGTGTTTAAGTATTAAATTTTAAACAACCACCACAAAATCTCCAGGGGGGCTGACACCCAGCACCAGTACAGCTGTTCCAGTGGTTAAAATATATAACCTACCTCCATGTTGATTGCTAATAGCTGCTTCTCTGAGCTCCTCAAATATTTCTTCACCGGAACCCTCCCCACCAACCACAAACCCCTGCACAGTCCAGCTATCAGGGTTCACCTGGCACAGTAGGGCTCCTTCAAGTCCTCCTTGTGCTGTAACCAGCCTCTGTTGGGATTGTTTGTTTTCCTCTAATACAGCAGTTCTCAACCTGTGGGTCGAGACCCCTTTGGCGGTCGAACGACCCTTTCACAGGGATCGCCTAAGACCATCCTGCATATCAGATATTTACATTACGATTCATAACAGTAGCAACATTACAGTTATGAAGTAGCAATTAAAATAATTTTATGGTTGGGTCACAACATGAGGAACTGTATTTAAAGGGCCAGAAGGTTGAGAACCACTGCTCTAAAAGATGGGGCAAAAAGATGGTGGGTAACAGGAAGCAGAGAGACTGCCTGCCCCTTCTGGGTCTACAGGTTATTGACATGGTTGACTATCAGAGAACTCAGACCCTGGCCCATTCTCTGGAGACAGCAGAAACCCAGAGACATAGCTGGGGAAGTCAAAGGAGCTATGCAGCTTCTCCATGTGGCCAAAAGGAGGAACCCCCAATGCCAGAGGTTTCACAGTGGCATTAATTAATTTGAAGGTCCTGCCGTTGGTTTGTTGTTGCATCCAAAATCACAGGATTTTTTCCCTGATGCTTTAAACCATATTTGTTCTATTTTTCAAAATTATGAGCCACTTGAGCCCAATATCATTGGTCTTTCCTACGTTGGGATTCTTTACAGAATTGATCCTCTGCTTTTCAAAGAACTTAGACAATTTTTGAAAAGGCGGGCTATTTCTTTTCACAGGCCAGTTAAAAACTTCGTCACCGCTGGACCGGGAGAGGGTCCCTGCGTACAACCTGATCGCCAGGGCCACTGATGGGGGTGGCAGGTTCTGCCAATCTGACATCCACTTGATCCTGGAAGACGTGAACGATAACCCCCCTGTGTTCTCTTCTGACCACTACCACGCCTGTGTCTATGAGAACACGGCCACCAAGGCTTTGTTGACCAGAGTTCAAGCCGTGGATCCCGACGTTGGTAAGTCAGTTGCACCAGTGGGATGTCTCCCTGTCCAGGAATTCAACACATTTTCAGGTGCTGTCTTTCCAATCATCTCATCAGCCCACTCTGGTTCCTTACCAAGAACGTGTACACTGAACCACATTTCAGCTCTTCCGATACCGTGAGTTCCTTTACTTACAACAAAGAATTTTGAATTTGTTTTTTTTTTCTTTTAATCTTTAGAATAAAAATAACAGCTTCCTTACTTGCTCGTTCCTCCTGAACGTAGTTAAAATGCTGTATTGTGTGGCAGGGAGAATTCATGTCCATTTCAGTAAAAAATTGCATCACATGCTTCAGCTGAAACATGACAATCTCAATTTATGCTAGTGCCCCATAGTGCAAAGACCAATTACGAAATGTGCTGCCTGTCCGGTGCGGACGGTTTTAAACTGCCATTTTCCAGAGCATTTTGGTCACATATAAACTGACATTTCTAGGCAGGCTGAAGGTGGATAAAATAAGAAGAAATGAGAATGAAAGTTGCTAATAAAGTTTGTGTTCAAAACCACTTTACATAATGAGATGGTGAGTTAGACAAGACTGGAGTTAATTGCCAGGTAGTCCTTCTGAGAATGCATAGGTTACTGAGGTGACTGCATGATGGAATATAAATACTAAAGGGCATATAGACAGCCTCTTGGTTAGCATTTTAATAGCTGTAAATCAGAGGACGATGGAATGATGGGGTGTGTCTGCTATGCTAAACAGGCCTTTATGTAATTCAGTGTCTTATTGCTTAATTCTGAATTGAAAGAAAAATTACTGGACTAATGGAAAAGTAAATACAGAATAATTAGTTGAAAACAAATGTAAAGTCCAGGGTCTTTGCATATGTCCCCTTAGAGAAATTAGTGGCTACACTTTAAATTAATGCTCTTACCTCATCAGCATAATTTTCTAGGCTGGGAACCAATCCTTTAAAATCCGCATATTATAAAGCTTGATAAAAAAGATAAATAGGAAAAGACTCTTATTGACTTATAATTATGCAATACCTACAAATGCTCTTTTTTAAAGGAAGATTAGAAAGCATTCTCTGTACTCTCCTTAGCATACTTTTGGGGGGGAAAGAGGACAGAAATCATGCAAATGAATCTTTTCATTATTTCAATTTGACTTTGACAATGTGTAATTGCGCCATAGGTGAAATTTTAAGGTTTAATGCATTTTAATTAAAATGAAATTGAATTAAAATTCCAATTGTAGGAAACTGGAATTTTTCTATTCATTTTCTTCATGAAGGAATCGGGGGTGCTGAGCTCTATCTACTAGAAACTGAGACAGAAGGAGTCTGGTTAGTGCACGTGATGTTTCAGAGGGAAGGGTGGGGCGATGTCACTGACTCACCAGGTGGTGTAGTGAAGAATACGTGATTGGCCCCGCCCCTTTTTACTTCTGCTGAGTTGGCTGTCCTTGTTGGGAATCGGAGAAGAAAGGATGGCTAGACTCTGGGCCTTAAGCAGGGTAGAGATGATAAAGCCTTTAAAGGACCAAAACCAGAATAATGACCTTATCAACACTCTGTCTGTTCATTTGCACTAAATGTCAAATAGACACAGAAGTTGTGAGTGCTGATGACACCTATATATAAATGGCATTCACCGGGCCATGGTATCAGCCTCAGGAAAACTCTAGCTTAGGATACCAGATCGTGGCTCACTTTTTAGTTTTTGTAGAACTTATTAAGCTTTTAAAAATAAAAGAACTAAGCTATCTGGAGAACAATTTAACTCTTCCAAAAAACACAAACTGAGCACCTGCTCTGTCCCGGACACCATGCTGAGGAAGCCCGTGTGAATGTCTGGGTCAGAAGCCAGTAGCGGTAGCGTGATTCTGAGCTGTAATCAAACCGACAGCCTCCAGAATTTCACTGGTGGCTTATGCCATTTTCAGCAGTGGCCAGAGAAGAACTTGTACTTCGTTGGGAACAATCCATTTCTCCATTTTTCATAAGGAACCACAGAGGAGGCTACCAGGTTGTGAAGTGGGCAATTCATCTCAGGGTCAAACTGAACCTCTGGCCTGAAGCTAATTTTGCACAAGAATCATTAGGCTGAATCCAGCCCTCGCATATATTTAGTATGGCTTGTATACAGTGTTCAAAAAGTTTGAATTAGTTATTAATAAAAGTCAGGACATTTTTACATGAAAACTTTAGTTTCTGGCATTTTATAAAAACAGCAACAGCCCTCAGAAGCCTCAGCAATTCCAGGTGCACAGCCCCACAGCGGGAGGAGCCAAATCAAAGCTGCCTCCTTCACATCCTGCAGTTCTCAGCCTCCCTACGCCCACCCACTTCACCTGCTTGTGTTATTGCTGATCTCAGGGGCCTAGTCTCTAAAGTGGCAAGGAAATATCTGGTTTTTAAAAAACTTTTCATTTTGCAATAATTATAGGTTCATAGGAAATTGCAAAAAAAAAAAATGTACTGCACTTTCCCCCAATGATAACATCCTGCATAACTGCAGTAAATAATCAGGTATGTGTGTGTGTGTGTGTGGTGAGCATGTGTGTTTCTATGTAACTTTGTCACCTGTGCAGCTTTGTGTAACCAGCACCACATTCATCCACCGCAGGGCTCTAGCTTAGGATACCAGATTGTGGCTCATTTTTTTTTTTTTAGTTTTTGTAGAACTTATTAAGCTTTTAAAAATAAAAGAACTAAGCTATCTGGAGAAGAACAAATTAACCCCTTCATAGCCACACCCACCTCCTCCCTGCATTTCCTTTCTAGACTCTAGCCCAGTGGTTCTCAACCTTCCTAATGCCGTGACCCTTTCATACAGTTCCTCATGTTGTGGTGACCCCCAACCATAAAATTACTTTCGTTGCTACTTCGTAACTGTAATTTTGCTACTGTTATGAATCGTAATGTAAATATCTGATATGCAGGATGTATTTTCATTGTTACAAATTGAACATAATTAAAGCATAGTGATTAATCACAAAAACAATATGTAATTATCTATGTGTTTTCCGATGGTCTTAGGTGACCCCTGTGAAAGGGTTGTTCAACCCCCAAAGGGGTCGCGACTCACAGGTTGAGAACCGCTGCTCTAGCCCCTGGCAATCGCTAGTCTCCATATCCATGATTTTGTTATTTCAAAAATTGTATTTAAATGGAATCATAGAGTTTGCAACCTTTTGAGATTGCCTTTTTTTTTTCCATTCAGCATCATGCTTGAGTCCATCCAGGCTGTTCAATTGGTTTTGATTCTCATGAAGAACATTGGCTGCACTTGTATAAATGACAGGGCTGTTTTGTTCATGAAACTTCTTTTGTTAAGCATATTCCTTTCCCTGAAAGTAACTGCCTAGGTCAGGAATAAAATAAAACCAGAGGCAGACAAGATCATTTCAATACTCATTTTAGGAGTTCTACGAAATAGCATGGCAATTGTCTAGATTTTAGCATTAAATTCTTAGTTTTCCCGTAAAATGGAAATATCTTCAATGCCATGAACTGATGGCATGATACAACCTAGCAATTATAAAACTCAATCTTTTCAGTAAAGATAAGGAGACATTTGCTCTTTGGGTTAATATCTTACAATTTAGTCTACCAGGTTCCAATTTTTGAGAGTTTTTTACTCTATCAAATCCTATATAATAAAAGCCTAATATGCTAAGTGCCCAGTCGTCCGATGACCAGTCAACTGTTCAACCAATCAAAGCATATTATGCTAATGATATGCTAAGGCTCCTCAAATGCTCACTATGACATGCACTGACCACCAGGGGGAAGACAGTTGACTGGTCAACCAGTCGCTATGATGTGCACTGACCAGGTGGAGGAAGATGCTCTGACTGGTAGGTAAGCTTGCTGCTGGAGTCCAGCTGATTAGGACTGAGCGAGATGGGCCAGACACACCCTGGAGCCCTCCCACGGTCCCTCCCTGGCCCAATCGTGCACCAGTGGGGTCCCTCACCCTGGCCTGCACCCTCTCACAATCCGGGACGCCTTGAGGGATGTCGGATAGCTGGTTTCAGCCTGATCCTGCAGGCCACTCCCCTCGGGAGGGCGCCAGACACAAGGCTCACGGCTGGTGAGCACTGCTTTGGCAACATGAGCCTCTCCCGATAGGGACTGATTGGGCACAAGCCCACAGCAGGCACAATGGGGCCAGGATGAGCAGGAGCAGCAGGTAGGAGCTGCAGGTGGCATTGGACTGTGGATTTCGGCCCAATCCCCACAGGCCACCCAGAGGGACCCCACCCATGCATGAATTTGAATTTGTGCACCAAGCCTCTAGTGGAATATAAAGCGATAAAGTTCAGAGCTAAAATCTATGACCATTTTTGGTAAAATGACATGAAAATAAAATGTAAACTTGCACTGGAATATATGCTATAGACCATGTTTTATTGAGAGTCCAATTTCCAGATATTTGAAATGCAATAAGACATGGTTCTCCTCTTATGGATGAGAGACATAAAGCAAAGAAATGTTCCAATGAGCAACTGACTCCTTTCCCGTAAAATGTTTCCTTCAAGGCACAGAACTACTTTCAGGGGCTTCAGAGGAACTTGGAGGCTCATAACACACATTACAGCTATTTTCCATTCAATTTAACAGATATTTAATGAGTAACTAGGTAGTAGGTGCTACAGAAGGAGCTGCAAGATTTGCACAGATGAGGAACAAGAAGTGACAGGCCTCGGGTCATACGCAGTAGAGAAGGGCATGAGTCAGGAACACACATACATTACTAAAAGGCAGAGCTCCCAGGATTTCAATAGGAAGGCATTCAGGAAGATAAAGTCGTAAAGCTGGGAATGGTGGACCCAATTAAATGGAGAGTATTATGTTGTGCAGGATGAAAGAGGTAAATGAAGTGAGAAAAAAGTCTGGGGACTGAGGATGGTGGTTCATGAAAGGAATCATGTACTTAAAACAAAGTTGAAAAGAAATCGCTCTGGCCCATGTGGCTCAGTTGGTTGGGCATCATCCTGTGCATTGAAAGGTTGCTGGT